ACCACATAGTTTCTTCTTAAAGATTTATGAAGATTCTTTTAACAAAAGAATTTATATAGAGATCTAACATTAAATTTATATTTACTAATACACAAATATCTTATTGAATCAAGAAGTAAGTCAAGAAAGAATAAACATACCTTTTTTTTGTTATTTTCTTCGCCAGACTCCAAATGAGTATTCATATTTGACCATAGAATCTGAATATTATATATAGTGGATTCTAATTCAATGACTGTTAAACCATTGACTCCACTTCTTTCACCAAACTTAGTGCCTTCAGCTCTTGATTCTGGGTTGTAGGCTCTTCTTCCATCAAATGTTGTAAAAAACCTCTGATAAAGTATTATGGAAGATGCCTTTTCTCCTTTCTTCGATATCTGCAGCAAATACATGTTGAGCAATGGTACTCGTATTTCTATGAGTCTATAAATGTTAGTCTTGATAGGATTTCCTTTGCTTTATTCCTTAATCTGATAGTAGTACAATGATTCATTCCAGAGTATGATTCTAGGATGAGTTATGGTATGAACAAGATCTTGTTCTTAGCATAGTTACTGATTTCATTATCTTAGATTAAATCTTTTGACTTTGAAATCTTTGACAAACATAGAACCAGATAGTCTTTGCTATCGGAGATTTTCATAAAACAAATTTAAAGAACCGTTATAGAATTGCTTGCAAAACACGAAGAGTTGAAGGTTTCTCATGGAATTGTCCTTTAACACAAATTCAATGATAACCTTTAATTTTTATGAGCAATTGAGTCACTTAAGATATTATCTTGAAGAGAAGACTCCTTATTATCAATATTGAAGCAAGATAGATTTGACATTATCTCTTTCTCTTTAATAATTGATTTTTATTCTAGGATTCAGATGCTTCTTCAGAAGCACTAATGACCAGCAGAGCCATATTCCTTTTTCTTCTAAAACCTGCCCTATGTCAGCTTCATTTGAATACACAGTGAAGATCTCTGATATTTTGGGTTTTTCTTGTAGTATTTCTCCTTGTTCTTAAGATTTGGGAAATCAATTGAAATGCGAATATTTCAGAAGCTTTTGAAGTTACTCTTTTATCAATAGATATCACATTCCATTTAGCTAGTTGACGAAATATTTTGATAAGGAAATTTAATTCCCATCATCAGACATTCCATAGGAATTTTCTTCAACATGATTAAGGAGGGTTAATCTGTTTGATAACTTTCATCATCTAATTCCATTTCTTTTCTTCGGAGATTTCTATATAAACCTTCAAGACACAACATACGCAAGTTTTATGACATCTTGAATAATTATCAATTTAGGTTTGAGTCCAGTAGGCAATCTTCTCAAAATTTGCTTGGAAAGATTAAATTTAGTGTAACTGGACAAGCTTCTTTACTAAATCTCACAAATTTGAACGCAATGATTCAAAGATAGTCTGAGCATTAGGCATATCAGTATAATATTTTTCGTGTGGCACTTGACTCCTTCTTGAAGGAAAGTCTTTATCAGACATATTTTTATTATTGGATCATTATCTGCACCGCTATTAAGTGTTATGCACATACCATGCTCTAATACCAACTAAAAACTAGCATTATTGTGCCTAGAGAGCTTAGACATTTAAGGTCAAATAAAAACTAGCAAGGGAAAGCACCGGTTCTCGGGATACTCCCATTAGCTGCAGGTGAAAAACGCTTCTCCTTCTGTCGAAGGCCTCATGCCTGAGGGACTATGTAATATTATATTTGAAAAAGGCCTTGCCTAGGGTGACGCCCTTAGACCGCCTTAGGAAGACGACGATGAAAGGTAGCCCAGGAGGAGGTATCGCCTCGCACTTGAGTCTTCCCTTGCCCATACAAAGAAAAGCATGGGATAAGATGTGTCTTGGATAAATAGAAAGTCAGGGTCATTACTGACTCACCTTTCCATTAGAAATACAGATTTGACTGACTACTATATAACTAGGTGGACAGTGGTATTTTTCGAGGAAACCCTGGGTCTTAGAGATCCCTATAAATACATCATCCCTTAAGGGAAAAATGACGTACCCTAGGTCATACACATTCTCCATAACTCAAAGAGTACCACACTTGTTACTGCCTTAACACACACGACCAACCTTACTACCCGCCTGCAATCCTAGTAGCGTCGACCACCAACAAGGCCTCTCATCTCATATGAGTTGGTCCCTTAAATAGTCGCAAACACGACCGTATAATGCTTCTCGCCGTCGTAAGCAAACTCTCACCATCAAAACATGTTATACACCGACTAAGGTCTCTGAGTATCCATGCCTTTGTAGGAAAAAAAACACACACACCTTTATTTTTTGATCTGTACAAAAATAAATCTCACAATAAATAAATAAAATAAATAAAAATATATTATGTTACAAATTCGTAAATATATATCACGTGTCTCCTAATATCTACACCATATGCTTCCAATATGCTTCATTCTTAATATGTTATTCTAATGATTTAAAACCTCTAACTATTTCGTCTACTACTTTTTGCAGCTTACACTTTAAATGAACAACTCAGTATTTTGAGTTCATTAATTCGAAACATTTCACATGAATAAATACATTATTGCTAAAAAGATACCGTATTATTATTCAAGTTTTAGAATTTGAGAATTTAAATTAAAAAAATAAAAGAAAAAAAGAAAGTGACAAATTAGTCAAATACTAAAATGTTATAAATATTTCTTTTAAGAGCAACTTTAACGCAGGGTTGTTAAACCAAAATTCTTTATAACTTACGTTAGTAATAAGGAATTTGCATTATAGGAGTGCTGACTGAAGGTGAGATAATACTTAGAAGGGGGGTTGAATAAGTATGAAAGATTAAGCCTTAAAAAAACAACACAATTATTTTTATCCTGGTTCGTTGAAATCAACAACTCCAGTCCACCCTTCCTAGAGTGATTTGCCTTTCTCAACAAGGACTTAATCCACTATTTAATCAAACAAATTACAATAGTAACACCTAAGAACAATTGTTCTTAGTCTTCTCAAGAGCTACTGATTCCAACTGAATCCTCTTAAGAAAAACCTTTACAATCAATGTAAATCAAATACAAGAGTATTAATGCTTCTATAAAGCTTTTATCACAACAGTGATTTTTCTCTTAAGTTTAAGTACAAGAAATTCTAAGAAGAATATGAAAGAATGAGAGCTTAGAATATTATGATTTCTTTTCAGCAAATTGTGTCACTGAAGAATTTGGTGGAGTCTTCCTTTTATAGGCAGCTGATCCAAGGAAGCTAACGTTGAGAAGAGTGTCCCAAAAAGGTCTGAGCCTTTTTGTCTTTACATCAAGTGACCTTTCCTAGAAGTAGATAGCACAGAAAAATCCTTTTTGTCTGTGTTCTTGTGTCTAGCACAAATGAGGAAAGAGACGTTTGATTTACTCCAACGGATATAATCTTTGAATATTTCTTCTTCAGTTTTCAACAAGTTCTTCAGAATCTGAATGAGTCAGAGTCTTCTAATGATGTTCAGAACTTTGCTATATCAGAGTCTTCTGCAGCATGTGTGCTTTCAGCGTGTTGATCATCAGAGCATATTTGACACAGAACTTCAGTACTTGGCAGCGTTAGTACTTTCAGAAACTTCTGTAGAAACTATGCTTTGAGAAACTCTTCAAACAATATTCTTCTTTGCTTCAGATGCTTCTGACTAGCTTCAGAATCTTCTGGAGCTACTTGCTTCAGATCCTTCTGGAGACTACGCTCAGGATCTTCTGTAAACAGCAATCAGAATCTTCTAATGAGTGCATCTGGCGCTTCAGAGTCAGGATAACTTCTTGTATATACTTCAGATTTTCTTCTAGAGAGTTAATTTCATTTCAATCTGCAGTAAAACTCTCAAACAAATTTTAGAGTATATAATTCTTAAATATAAAATTTCCTAACAGTTATCATCAAAACAAAGAGTTATTATTAAAAACCAATCTGTGTTCTAACACTGACATGACATCCAAATGAACTAAAATTTAGTTCTCATTATCTATATAGTTAATGTTAACTATGTGGAACCTATTATAATATTATTTAATATTAATAAAATATTCCAAATATTCCAACAACATTAAAGTAAGGATATGATATTTGAGAATAGTAACGGTCACATTATCATTTTTTACCTTCTATAAATTCTATGGAAATTTTAATTTTTTTTACACACAATTTTACTTCTAAATTTTTTTCTTTCAATTTCCAATCTTATTTATTTATCAAATGGATTCCAACCAATCGAATCCTTATTATAATTATATTCCTATGAAAATGTAATTTTTTTATGTATTATTGTTGTGAATTTTGTATCATTTTTAATTTTATAATAAAATATATTTAATATTATTTTTAAGTTTTTAAGGTAAATTTTATTTAAAAAATTATATGTATTTTAATTAAAATAATTAAATTAATGGTAACTTAAATAAAAAATATAAAATGTGGGGTCAAGTTTTGGTCTATTATAGACAACGACCATTAAAGTAAAAACTACTCAAATCAACTATAAATTTTTTAAATCTTACAAATCACTTTGTACCCCACAAAAAGTATCTTAGTTTACCCATTTAGTTTACTCCCACTAAAGATACTCTAACTAAATTTATTAAAAAAACTTAACAATACAAACATAATATAATATGAATAAACAATCAAAAAGTTAAATAAAAAAACCAATTCAATTTTTTGAAATTTTTAAAAGTAGTACTAGTGTAATATTATTTATAATCGCAAAAACAGTTGTGTGAAATGCCACATCATCCTATTAACTGCAACATCATACCACATCGTGAATGCTATTGGTCGAGGCCACGTTATGTGAGCTGCATATGCGTCGCCACGCGCCCAAACCCTGTTGTTCCGTTTAATAATAAAATAAAAAATAAACGTTACCTCTAAAAAAAGCAAGACCCAACACTGTGCCAAATTGAATTCTATTTCTCAAAAAACTTAGATCTAAAAACAGTGTTTTCTTCTAATAAGGTCAAGTTATGAAGTTCAGAGATGGAAGTGAAATCACTCTGCTAGTATTGTTATTATGCTTAACAACTCTGTCTCTTAAAATAGAAGCTGTGTGGATGACAATTCCGAGTTCAGGAACTAAGTGCGTATCTGAGGATATCCAAACCCACGTTGTCGTTTTAGCTGATTACTATGTTGTAACTGAAGAAGTTCCTCAGCTTCAAACAATTTCCGCCAAGGTAATTTCACACAAATTAACCACCTTTTTTAATTTACTTTTCCATTCATGTTTTTTGAGTCATAAATTCAACTAGGCAGTATATTTATTTTCTCAATTTTAGTTTATTTTTCAATACATAAGGATAAGGTAGTCCAAGATAGAGATATTGATCTATATAGGAGGGTATTTTACTCTCAACTTATGGTTAAATCAACAATGATTTGCAGAAAGAATGTTCCGCAACTTGTTTACATTAATTCATAAATATAAATGAATGGAAATCTCAGATGTGTAGAGAGTGAACTCTACATCAGTCGTTTCCATTAATTTAACTCTCCTAACACATATCAGTTGAATTGAATGATTGTTTTCCGAGGGACTAAATAGCTATTTTGCAAATTGGAGGGACTAAATTTGAGGCATGTTATGTTTGTGCAGGTAACTTCTCCTTATGGAAACAACCTTCACCATAATGAAAATGTTACACAAGGGCAGTTTGCGTTTACAACTACCGAAAGTGGAAATTATGTTGCGTGTTTTTGGATGGGTGGAAATCAACAAGAAGGTGCAACTGCAACTGTAAACCTTGATTGGAAAACTGGAATTGCGGCCAAGGATTGGGATTCTGTTGCAAAGAAAGAAAAGATTGAGGTGAATACAAATCTCCATTCATGTACACTTATATATCATGTCTTATTAATGTTTATTAATCTGTTTGTTCTTTTGGTATGGTTTAAGGGTGTTGGACTTGAACTCTTGAAGCTTGAAGGAATAGTGGATGCCATCCACCAATATCTAACTTACTTGAAGGACAAGTAAGTTTTGTAGTGTGATTTCAATTTGATTAAATTTGTTTTTAGTTTCACTGCATAAGGATCGGAAATTTGACTTCTAATAATAACATAACACAGTTTTCACTAAAGTTGAATAAATACAATAATGTAGCATAAACAATAACTGTATGAAGAAATATATATTTCTAAAGAAGAAAAATGATATATTATAAAAGAATGGTCACTTTCTTACACTTTGTTACTTGTATTATCTGCATCTGTTGCTGTTCCGGTACGGAAAAATAGTCTCATATTATTTAGAAATCAAGACTAAAAAGAGTAATTTATATACAACACTCACACTTCTCAGTTCAACGAAACAGATTTTTCAAAAGACAAAACTGTGACAAATTTTCATACACGAAATAGACAATTACATTGTCCTTAGCAGACTTCAACTTCAAGTTGACTGGAACAACATCGAATCATGGCTCATCACATAGATATTTAAAGAGACATTTTGAGAACTAATACAACAAAGTATCATAAAGATTGACTATGATTGAATACACATGCAAAACACTTTCACATTAACATGGAATATAAATTAATATGTTAAGAATCTCGCATCGGCCAATATATGACCTGAACATGTCTTTACAATGTGGTGAGAAACAAGTGTGAGTTCTAAGTCCAACATTGTTTAGAAAAGTGGAGGTTGAACACTTTATAAGTCAGAGGAGCATGACCGGACAATCTTCACTTCTTAACATTGTATCAAGAGTCACGTTTAAAACTCAGTGGACCACCCCCTATTAGACAGTCCTGTGCATGCTATAGCTGCTAGTAACTATTATACTTGATTATTGCATTTCAAAATTTATTTTTTGTTGGACTTTCTGCCACAGGGAAGCAAAGCTGAGGGAGGTGAGTGAAAAAACAAATGCTAGAGTCGCATGGTTTAGCATCATGTCTCTTGGTCTCTGCATTTCTGTTTCGGCATTGCAACTTTGGTATCTCAAGAGCTACTTTACAAAGAAGAAACTCATATAGATATTGCTATTTGTCTTTGAGATTCTGGTTGAAGTAACTGATGCACAATCAAGGAACCAAGAAGAAGCACCCACATGGCAATAGGTTTCCAAACAGAATGCTCAATGATTATTGGTATATAAGATAAGAATCGAGTATGATGTGAAGCGGGAGTGGAATGTGTACTTTTTGTCATTGTTCTTGGATTCTCCCTATGTTCTTTTGTTTTCAGAGTTTGTAGAATCTCATTCATTTGTATTACAGAGCCGCTATGACTACCACCATTGTCTCGTTTAATAGATTAGACCTGACCATTAGATCCAGGAACCATGTTTCTATCTTGGGATTGAACTTCAACGTCCCATAGGTGGAATTTAAGTAATTAATATTAATAATTGTTATAAGTTAGTGTATAAATTAAAAATATTAAATATAAATATGATCATTTTATAGAGCGTGCAAAACTAATTATTATATATGATCTAAATTTTATGACGGCTAATATGTGACTATAGGAGTTTCAAAATGTTTGTCTGAGTTATACAAAATTTCTAAAAATTTAAGCAACACTAATATTGTTTCAATATATGAGAGATTAAGTTCATCTCTATTTTGAAAATTTTAAAAACTTAAAGATGATTCTTTGAATATTGTCATATAACGTTGTGGAGAGACTAAATTCATCCCATTTGTTATGAGTTTGAAACAAAAGAGTAAGGTAAATTCTTAGCTACCATATTATTTCAATGGATATCTGTAGGTAGCCTAATGAAGTGGATGAATTAGATTTCACCCATAGGTTAACTTAGCATTTTATTTCATTAAAATATTTTTAAAATTTAAATATAAAAATTGCAAATATATCCGATCTTCTTTCCTTATCAATCGATCACTAAACATTTTTCTAATGTTAAATTATAATTTTTTTTTTAGGGTTTGTGATTTCCAGTATCAATACGTTCACATATTTTCTATATTCATCACACATTTTTCTCTCTCTTGAAAATCCTAATTCCCCCTCTATTTTCTTCCCTTCTTTGACATTGGATAGTCGATTCTTCCTCAAATTCTCCCCTCTTATCTCATTTCATTAATTTTCGATTCCTTCCTCAAGTTTTATTTCATTAGATGATATCTACGATGGCAACAACATGGAGTCGGAGTCCCTTGACGATGACAATTTCTACCGTGGTGACATTGATGTTGCCATGGACTATTACAGTGACTACGATGATGACATGGGTGATTATTGTTTAACCCAATCACAAGAGAATGATGAGCAAGTGTGGAAATGTAGAAAAAGTGAGAGACCTAGAGAGAATAGAATAAAAATAGTGGCATTATTATTAACAATCTAAATTAAGGTATTTATATATCAATACACAATTGTACAACTAACCAACTAATAACAAAATAAAAATTTTGAGCCGGTAACCAAGAACATAAAATTTATAATTGGTTACACGAAGCAAGTGTCTAATTCTACCAAAGGTGGTTATCGGTTACACCAAATCTATTACCAGTTACATGTAGCATATGTTTGATCCTTTTGATACTGATTAGGATGGTAGTCGGTTAAACAAAACATGTAACTTAAACGCTACTTGATTCTTTTTCTTCAACACACCACTTCAACTATAGTCTTCCAAGTCTTCAATACTCATGTGTTTCTTTAACCTCTTGAGCACTCATTTGACACTCCTTTATTAGCAAATCGGCCACTTGATCTTCACTTTTGCAATACCTCAAATTCAATTTTTCTTCACTCACAAACTCTCTCAAGTAGTGAAATCCCCCCACCACACACACACGCGCGCGCACACACGCATACACACGCACGCACGCGCGTGCGCACACACACACACACGCACACACACACACACGCACACACATATACATACTTGTTTCTCCCATGTGCAATGGGATTTTTGGCAAGGTTTATTGCGAAATCATTTTCTATCATTAAAGTCACAACTACATTCTCTTCATTGCACAACTTCTTTATCAAATTCATTAACCATACATCTCGACACGCACACATAGACGTCGCAATGTACTCAGCCTCCCAAGAAGAGAGCACCACAATTGGTTTCTTCTAAGAACACCAAGAGATTAGTGTTTATCCATTCTAAAAATGTATCCATCAATGGATTTTCTACCATCTTTATCTCCACACTAGTTTGAGTTGGTATAACCGAGCTTGCAGCTTCTACCTTTGTTCATTGCGGAAAACAAAGTTTCGCAGCCAATCAAACCATTGACGTGTCTCAAAATTCTCTTGAATGCTGCAAAGTGTGATGCATTTGGATTCCCCATAAATATGCTCACTATGCCCATGCCATATGCCAAGTTCAGCCTCGTATTACACAAGTACAACAATGATCCAATCGGCCCCTTATATTGCGTTGGATTAATTTGTTGCTCATCTTCATTCTTTGACAACTACAACCTTGGTTCTCCAAAGATAATGACCATATTACAATGCTCAATTTTTCTTCAATATCTCAATTGCATGCCTCCTTTGATGCACGAGCAGTCTATTTTCGAACTTTTGAAACTCAATGCCAAAGAAGTATGTCATTAGACCAATGTTAGTAATCTAAAACTCCTTCATTAAATCAGCCTTGATTCGGTAATATAACCTTCATTGCTTCCCGTAATCAGTAAATCATTGACATATACACATAGTGTTAGCTGGGATTTTCGACCAATGTAAAAAATCTAGCAAACAAGGGTAGTTTCGAAAGAGTTTTGGTTCCACCACAGTCTTGGACTTATAGAAATTTTGATTATTGCAAGAAGCATCTTGACACCAATATACCACGACCAAGCAGGTCTTACTACGACAACAGGTTGGTCGACGGAGCTGTTAACTGAGCGCGTCACGTTCTTTTTCTAAAGAGACACGTGGAGGAAGTCTGAAGATAGATTGGATGCAGAGCTTCACGTGGCGAATTAAGAGAATAAGAACATTGTGGGTAGTTATTTTACACTTGTGTATGTGTGTATATACACACACACACACACACAGATATATATATATATATATATATACACACACACACACACATACACACACGAACACGCGCCCACACACACACACACACACACACACACACACACAGAGACAGACACACACGAACACGCCCCCCCCCCCCCCACACATATATATAGTAGTTCATTGTTTGAATAAGGGGGTGTTCATTGTATTACAAAAATCTCATTGAAAACTCAAAGTATCAGCGCTAAGAGAAACAGGCGAATGTAAGAGAAAATGAATCACCATAATTTAATTTCAATGCTAAGTTTTTAATTTTGTTCAATCTTCACTTTATTCATGTTAATCACTTTCAATTTCTTTCAAGCCTTTATTTTTATTCAGTACTTCCAGTATTGTTGTTTCTAGTGTATTTTCTTCTTGCAATAGTCGAAGTTCTTGCACAATCTTACGCGAAACCTTATCCTTCGACCAAATCGTAGACAACCATTTTAAATACAAGAAAAATCCATAACAAGAGGTTATTTGGCACTATGTCCTAGGATTTACTGGTTGATCCTACAAGTAACACCTATTCTTGGAGACCAGCGGTTATTTACCATTTTTTAGTGTTAACAAATTGGCAGACCCAGTGGGACCTGTGCTAAATTTCCTATTTGGTTATAGATTTCTTCGTTTTCTTGATGTTTGAAAATAGTATTCTATTCTTAAGAGTTTCTTCTAGGCATTTTGTATGCAATTAATGAGTGGTAAGGCTTTGTCTAATATGTCTCGTCCTCTTGCAGATAACATTAATCCCCAGAATAATTCTCAAGATGTAGTGCTACAACCGGTCATGTCGACGGCTGAGAAGCCAGTTCTTTCAACACCAGTTACAATGACTGCTCTAGGGGCATTAGCGACAATGGTCACAACGATGTTATCCCAGAGGGCTACACCCCTATAACAGGAAGGAAATTCTCTTAATAATCCCGCACTTGCGAGAACTTTGTTTGGGTTCTCAATGTCACTCCCTGCTAGAGATTACCCTTATGGTATGCCAACATCTATGATGGCTAACCTACAACCGAATATGTCAATCTTCAGGGACAATGTTATGGCCACAACGCCATTATATAATCCCTATAACGCCTTAGCGTCGACCATCAATAATGTGGAATGAACAGGAGGGATAAATTATATCCCTCAGAATATGTCGTCTTTGAATACAACTTCTATGATGGCTATGAGGCATCAGATGGATGAGAGCAATCTAGAATTAGTGACAATGTGTTGCCAATACAAACCAAACTTATGAAGTATTAGCAAGCCAAATGGGGATCATAGCTGATTTCTTTGCACGCCCCAAATGCAATTTCGACCGACTCCACATATATCTAATGTTAGGGCAGTCAAAACCCTTGAGAATGCAAAAATACAGGATACTGTGGCCCAAAATCAAGGGTTGCAACAGGATCCTCCCTTGAATAAGGAGCAAATAGAACAACACAACCCTAGACCTCTGATAGTTCAGAGAAATTAGAATGCGAACCAAGTACTCAGACAAGTCCAGCTAAATAATTTTGCAGCAAAAAACAATATAACAAACGTGGTCGAACAAATTTTGGCTCAAAATGGCCTTAATATGGGACTCCATTGAACGAACTTTGTCTCCCCATTGTCAAAATACATTCGACAGTCAGAGTTACCTAAGAAATTGAAGGTCCCAAAGTTTACTAAGTTCGTTGAAAACACGAATGATTCAACAATAGAACATGTCGCCTGGTATCAAACCGAGGCTTATGATTTAGCAAATAACGAGAATCTGAAGTTGAAATACTTCCCAAGTTCTCTAACCAAGAAAACCATTACTTGGTTCACAATTCTCCCTCCCTATTCTGTCCAATCATGGAGCCAGTTAGAAATGTTGTTCCATGAACAACATCAAATTAAAAATTTTGACCACAATACTTCATATCATTGTGCCAATTATCACCATAATATGGATGTACTTTCATACGTCACCAATCTTTTCAAGGATTGT